GGAGAAGGGGACACACACAAGGTACTTCCATGGAAGATTCTATCCTAAACAGGGCAAGGGGTAATATTACAAAGGAACAGTTGAGCGTAGCTTCACCCATGGGGCTCTAGCAAGACACACCCATGCACAAGAAACAGACCCTCAAACCCAAGAAGGGTGGGGAAAGCTCTGCCACATTTCTGTGACTGAGCGCCTCAGCACCCAGTCGGGGAGTGTGCCTCAGTCACGTGTGAAGTTGGTCTCCCACAGTCATCATTTTCTTAATCCATTAAATTTAACCAATAATTATATTTTAAAAGAATAGATTTTGATTTAATTAAAACTCAGCAGTAACTATGAATAGTTTCTTTGCTCATGAAGGAAGATTTCTCCTGAGAAGGCACTTATTGGGCAGTGTTATAGAAGGACTGGTGTTTGGTGATGATCACAGCAGTCTGACTTCTGGTGTTGTTGCTTACTGTCTTTGACTCTCAGTAGGTAAGATGCCTTTGCGTCACTGCACCGCGCGCCCGCACACACACAGATCCCATTACCCAGCCTTTGGGGTCATGCAGGTGGAGGTGCAGGGGTCCTTTGTGTCACTGCATCGGGGGTGCGGACCCCATCACCCAGCCTTTGGGAGCATGCAGGTGGAGGTGCAGAGGCAGGGTGTGAGATGATGGATGGAACGTGAGGATCTGGAACCAGGAAATGGATGGGCTTTGGGAAAGGGCGTCTGCATCCATAGTCTGGGTTTAACTCCTGTGAGTGGTGACCAGCCTCTGGGTGTGGGTGACTCAGATTCCAAACCGGTGCACCTGGAAGGCTTGTGGGCAGCTCGCTCTGGTGAGCCACCCTGGAGCTCTCTGCTCCTGACTAAGGGCAGGACCACCTTTATGAGCTGAGTGCACAGCTCTGGGCACAGCTCCAGAGTAGGAGCTGTTCAGTGCCACAGATACCCAGGTGCCTGGGCCAGCCACAAGCCTCCTGGGGCCTGTGTCTTCACCACTAAATAAGCATCTGCCCGTGGACCTCATGGGTGCTGTGAGGAGCAGCCAGTAGCAGAGGCGAACCTGGCTGTTCCCCAGGGGGAGTGCCCTGGAGCACCGAGGTCAGACCCTGCCTTCACCTGGAGTTTCCCATGCTGTGGGCCTGGAACAACATTCTGAATTCCCAGGGAGGCTTTTCCAGCTGGCATGAGGCCCTGAGAGTCAGGATACTGGTTCCCGAGGCCCGGTTCTGGCATCAGCTCTGAGTCTTGGCTCTGTCATATCCTGTCTTTGTGTCCGTGGGCAAGTGATACATGTCTCGTCACTTTCTCAGCCACACCAGGATGGTACTGTGTTACACTGAGGATTGACCTGTGGCTGCGTTTAGTACTAGTACAGCGCCTGGACTGCACAGGTTGCTGAACAGCGGTGTAGGTGCCCATTACAGAAAGCCACCAGCCGCTATTACCTGGTCACTGCGGTGTGTTAGACATATGCATTATTCCTGAAGAAGGAATGGCTCCAGGGCGTTTTCTAGCAAAAACTGCAGACTTCAGGAAGTTCTAAAGTGCTTTACAGAAACATGACATTAGATTTTATTTATCAAAAAATATAATTTGCAGTAAAATGTGAATTACTTACAAACCCATAGTTTGAAAATATCATTTTATATGTAGTTCTTAAAAAATTTTTTTAGTTGTAGATGGACATAATATCTTTATTTTATTATTTTTATGTGGTGCTGAGGATCAAACCCAGTGCCTCATACGTGTGAGGTAAGTGTTCTGCCTGAGGCACAACCCCAGCCCTTTCTATGTAGTTTTAATATTGTTTGATGATAACATTTTATGTCAACAGTTCTTAAAGTTCAGATCTTTGCATGGCGCTGTGGTGCACTTTTGTAGCCCCCCAGCAGCTTACAATAAATCCTCGGGAGGCTGAGGCAGGAGGATTGAGAGTTCAAAGCCAGCCTCAGCAACTTAGTGAGGCCCTAAGCAATCCAGCAAGATCCTATCTCTAAATAAAATATAAAAAGGGTTGGGTGTGGCTCAGTGGTTAAGCACCCTTAGGTTCAATCACTGGTATATATAAAAAATAGATTTGGGTCTTAGGGTCCTTTAAACTTTTAAAAATCATTAGAGACCTTGAAGAATTTTTTATTTGCACTCATATTTACCACATAAAAATACAGTGGAGTGGTTGGGGGTCAAGTTCAGTGGTAGAGCATGTTCCTAGCATGTGTGAGGTCCTGAGTTCAATCCAGCACCACACTCGATAAATGAATAAGTAAATGGGGAACTAAGATCATTAATTCCTTAACAATAATCAATTTATATGTTAACATGCTGCCACACATATGTTTGATTTTAAGATAATTATATTGGTGCCAAGGGGCAGAGCATACCTGTAATCCCAGCAACTCGGGAGGCTGAGGCAGGAGGAGCACAGCCTGTGCGATTTAGCCAGACCCTGTCCCCAAATAAAATGTGAAAAGGGACAGGGTGTAGCTCAGAGGTAGAACCCTCACTTAGCATGCTTGAGGCCCTGGATTCAGTCTACAGGAATGCAAAGAAAAAGCAGGCTGTATTTTTAAACAAAGAGTAGAATTATGTACACTTTGCCAACCTCACTGATGCCTGGCTTAATAGGATTAGACAGAGGTACCATTGCAGGAACTGAGTTCTTCCTTTCCTTCTTTTCCCTGAATGCTAGTGCTTTCTGCACCTCAATGTAAATTCAAGGAGTATATTTTTAAATTTTAGTTGTTTTTAGATATTGAAAGGATTTTTTTTCAGTGACTTGTTCATTCATTTAGTATTATATTGCTAGGGCAAATACTGTTGTGTGCGGATGCATTTCACTTACCCTGGGTGCTGCAGGTGACCTGCCACAGCTGGGGGGTCCCCTTCCATTGATAGTATGTGGATTATTTCCACATTTTCTCTACTGTGGAGGTCATGGACGTCCCGCTCTCATAGCCTTCCAGTTCTGGTAGCTGCAGTGTACATCTCAGAGGAATCGAGGGTAACAGGGTATATGAATGTCCTTGACTCTCAAAGAGGCAACACCAAGGTGTAACGGTCAAAACCAACTTGAACTTTCAGTGGAAACATAGGCAACCATCTATATGGATGGTGGTCCTCGGATGTGGTTCCAGGACAGCAGCACTTTCCAGAACAAACAGTGAAGGGAGCATGTGACAGGATGTCCACTGTCACTGGCGGCCAAGAAATGTAGATGCAGACCAAGGTGTGATGCCACTGACAGACTTAAAAGTCTGACAAAGCTTAGTTACAGGGAGAAACAAAGTGAAGGTTGAAGGAGATCCAAGGAGTTCCCAGAGAAGGGGTCTCAACTCAGGATGAGTGAGGTTCTTGACAAATGCCACAGAAATGAGCTTGAGGACACATCAGTTAGATTCAGGTTTATTTAGGGAAGTAGACACCCACTGAAGGGAGAATGTGGCTATCTTGAAAGAGGTGCTATAGGGTCCCAGGCTCTCCTTTTAAAGGAAGTTGGTGAGGGGTGGGCATGGGAAGGTGTGTAGGGATGACCCCAGTCTAGTGATCACAAGGTGGTTAATGGTGTTCTGGTCATTCTCAGAATCCTTAAGTCTCCATTATCTGATCAGGTTATCCTGTTGGAAAGCACACTGTCATAGATACTTTCTTAAAGTATCTTCTCTCTGCACTTAATCTATTAAGGAGTATATTTTTAAGTTTTAGTTGTCTTTAGATATCGAAAGGATTTTTCTTCAGTGACTTGCTTCATTCACTTAACATTATATTGCTAGGGCAAATACTGTTGTGTGTGGGTTAATTAACAGGGCACAAGGTAATTCTCAAAAGTGAATGAATTTTCATGAGTGGTAACTCTGAGATTTAGATTTTCCGGGAATTTGAGTGAAGGCTGGGAGAGCTAATCTGGGGAGTGAGAGGCCTGAAAAGGCCTATGGAACTTCAGGTTAAAATCCCATTCCGTGTCCATCCTTCTGTGTCCTTTTTTACCAATCTACCAATTTCTTCTGTCCTCAAAATGACTTTGAAAAAGTCTGCCATAACCCTTAAATGTCCCTTTTTCCAGGTAGTTCAAGGGCTGATGGAGGACCACAGCCAGGAAAGCGCCATCCTAACTAGTTCTCACCCTCAGGGGGCTGGTGGGGCTGGAGCCCCCACAGGCCATCCTGATCCAGTCCCTGGCACATTTCTAGGTTTCAGAAACATTTGCAGGAAGAATATAATGATCCATTACTAACTTTCAGGGACAGGGCTTTTTTAATTTTTATTTATTTTTTTCGTGGTGCTGGGGATTGAACCCAGGGCCTTGTGCATGCGAGGCAAGCACTCTGCCAACTGAGCCCTATTTTTAATTGTTCTTTTTAGTTATACATGACACCGGGATGCATTTTGACATATTAAACAGGGATAGGTCTTCTTTTAAATGAAGAAACTACCTTGAAGAGCATTAAGCAGGAATGAGGCGTGCGAGCCCTTGCGCCCGGGCTCTAGGAAGTACAGGCCTGAGCGCACTGCGGTCACCTGGCCACCGTGCCGTCCCCGGCCCCGTCCCACCCCACCTCCTCCTTCCGCCCGCCTGCATGCCAAGCCGGGGCAGCGCGGCACCCCCGGGGGCGCGCGCTGCAGCGACCGGCGGGCGAACTGGGAAGCCGTCCACAGTCGTCCCGAGCGCGGCGCGTCCCGCCCCAGAAGCGCCAGGGTGGAGAGCACGTCGGCCAGGCTCTGGGAGCGCCTTTGAGCTGCACCTCCGACTCCGGACTGGAGTCGCGGGCCGCCCCACGGGCCTCAGAGGGCCCGTGGTGCGCACCGACCGCGAGGGGACGGCGCCTCCCCTCCACTGGTGCGCGTTCCTCCGTCCCCAGCGCTTGGCCGGCAGCTCTGGAGCCCACGAAGCCGGACAGACCAGAACCCAGCGGAAACCGCGGCGCACCCCGCGCCGCCGACTTCCGGGAACGGAGGCGAGCAGGCCCCGCCCCACGGGCGTATACGCCATCTCCCCGCGTCGCCGCCGGAAGTGGGCTCGTGGGCGCGCCGGAGCCGGGAGAGCGAGGCGGCTGCGGGCGCGGGCCTGAGTGATGCGCGGGCTGCTACCTCTAGCCGGCAGAATAGTTCTGGTCGCGCTGCGCGGCGGCCGCGGCTGCTGCGGGCTCGGAATGTTCTACGCCGTGCGCAGGGGCCGCAGGACCGGCGTCTTCCTCACCTGGTGAGTGGGCGCGTCGGCCTGTGCGGACCCCGCAGGCGGCTTTGGGGCGGCCGGGCCTCCCTGGGGCCTGTGTTGCGGACGGGCTCCCCGCGGGAGGCGCGGAGCCCCGGCAGCACCGCCAGCGTCGCCAGCACAGGTTCCCTGTTCCGACGGGGCCGGAATTTGGGCGATCTCCGGGGGGTCCGCGGAGGGGCCTTTGCGGTGGGCCGGGTCGCGGTCGTGACTCGAGCGCGCTCCCTGGGGGGTGGGTCCCCGTTGTCGGGAGCTCCGGGGCAGGGGCGTGGCAGAAGCTGGACCGGACCCTCCCCTCCGCGGTATCAGGTTTTGTCGTCGGTGTGCACACGTGTACTCCCCGTGCCTGGCCGCGACAGCAGAGAGGAAGAAGCACCTCAGATGTCCGCCCGTTTTGTTGCCATACAGTGATTAGTCGACCTTTGTATTTCAAAGACCCCCAACTTGTTATGCTCTGAGTTTGAGGAAAGCCAATGGGGCCGCCGCACCGTCTGCCTGGGGGACAGCAGGGCAGGGGTGTGGAATGTGACACGCCAGCTACAAGCTGTAGGGTGTGACATTTGCCCCCAGGAGCTGGCAGCCCGTCCTTTCTCACAGTTTCCCACCTAAGAGGAGTCTTCATTAAAAGGGGGTAGTTGGACAGGGAGGGAGGTTGGAAATGACCTGCCTCCCTTTTCCAGGAATGAATGCAAGGCGCAGGTGGACCGGTTTCCTGCTGCCCGGTTTAAGAAGTTTGCCAGTGAAGATGAGGCCTGGGCCTTTGTCAGAAACTCCGTGAGCCCGGATGGTGAAGGTACTCGCCTGTCTTATGAGTGTGGTATTTTAGCCCATTCAGAGCCTTCACAGCCAGAGGTCATTGGATCTGTGCATGAGGAGGCTCTGCAATCTCATTTTTTCCCCTGTTGTACAGATTAAAGAGTAGTGCTCATGTCAGTAATAGTGTTAGACACACCAGGACTCTCATCTCTTTTTGCATTCAGTTTATCACTAGGTCATAATTCTTTTTTTTTTTTTTTTGGTACCAGGGGATTGAACCTAGGGGTTCTTAACCACTGAGACACATCCCCAACCCTTTTTATTTTTATTTTTTTAATTTTGAGGAAGGGTCTTGCTAAGTGCTGAGACTGGCTTTGAACTTGTGAGCCTCCTGCCTAAGCCCCCTGAGCCACTGGGACTACAAGTGTGCACCACCATGCTTGGCATAATTTCTTTCTTTTAAAAAAGTACTTGTACTGTTACTGGACCTAGAAGGCTATGTTTTTAAAGGATAGAATGTGATTTCCCTCCACAGCATATGTGTATATGGTGTTTTTATTTGGAACAGAGTCATGCAATTTGAATTTCTTTCAATTTCATGTGTTACAGAAAGTATTGAAAGTTAGGCCTAATATAAGGGACATAAGATTTGCAACTCTGATATACATGATTGAGATAAACAGAGTGACTCTGATTTAGAGCACAAGATTAAAAAAATATATTTGGGCTGGGACATACTTAATGGTAGAGCATTTACTGAAGACACATTTGTGTGTGCACGTGTGGTGGTAAATGGTGTGTGAACCTACCTTGAGGAAGTAGGGTTTTGAGTACTTGCAGACTTTACAGGAGAGTTAAGACTGAGCAGAGCCTAATAAGCTCATATGCTCTTTTTTTTTTAAAAAAAAAAAAGAGAGAGAGTGGGAGAGAGAGAGAGAGAATTTTTTAATATTTATTTTTTAGTTCTCGGCGGACACAACATCTTTGTTTGTATGTGGTGCTGAGGATCGAACCCGGGCAGCATGCATGCCAGGCGAGCGCGCTACTGCTTGAGCCACATCCAATTATTCACATCTCAGTTCTTCCAGTGTACATATATTCCTGTCTATGAATCTGCTTTCCTAAAAGCTTACAGAGACCTCATAGTGGCTTAGGTTTATAAATTGAGATTTTAGCACTTTTAATGTTTAGGATCTATATCAAATAAAAACATTAGCCCCCTTTCTAGTTTTTTCTCTTATCCTTATTTTGGAATTTTTGATCTGTTGTATGGCTTATATAAGCTAATTTACTTAAAGAAAAACACACTTTTGTGAAGTAAAAATTACCTGATAACTGTGGTTTTCCCATCTTTCAAAGACTTGTCTGCTCTTTAAAAACTTTCAGTTCAACTAAACTCTGTTGTAGTAAATAAACCGTATTTGTATCAATATCAAAATTCTACAAAACTGCCCTTTGATCTGTACCTGTGTGTTTGCATTTACTTCTGTAGAGTACATTTGAGGTAAATAAAGAGGCACCGAGGTGGTGGGTGGAAATGCCCCCTTGCGTCACTCAGATTCCCAGTTGCCTGGACATTGGAGAGGCCTGGCAGGAAGCTGCTGGAGGCACGGGTGTGGTCTCGCAGCTGTTCAGCAGACGCCTGGTGGGTGTCAGTGCCCTGTTCCTCCATCCCTGGCATAAGAGTTTAGAGCTAAAGGTCAGTTCTGTGGTTTGGGTTAAGGTTGCTGTTGTGGAGATGTTAGTTATACTAGTTGCTCCTTCTGTACCTCTGTTCCCACTCCATAAAATGATACCGAGGGAGAGTTGCCTCAGATCAGCGTTTTACAGAAGCCTAGAGGGTCAGGGTCGATGTCAGCTGCCCATGTTCTCAGCCAGTGAAAGTGGAGCTGCCCTTGAAACACTTGTTCGTGAGTCTTTCTCATTCAGCTTGTGCTTGGGGAAAGGGGACTGAGATCCTGGCTGTCCAGTTATCCCCGAGGTGGTGTTTGAGATTCCTTTGGCTTTAACCCCGGGTCCACCTGAAGAGAAACTACAATAGTAGTTGGCTTGTTTCCTGATGTGTCCAATTGCCTGGTTGTTTATGCTTGACCCACACCCCCTTAGCCTCCCTAGAGGTTCTTAGTGTGGAGTTCATGTAATGGCAATATTTGGGGCAGCGAGGGGGCTGATCTTATGTTCAAATTTGGGTCCTTGTTTTCCTGGGTAAGAGTCCCTCAAATTTTCACATTGTCATCCCTAACTGGTGTGTCTGTTATGTCCATCAAAACCAGGTTTTTCCACAGAAGCTCTTCTATTGTCTTCACAATGCTCTTATCAAGCTCACCTTGGAGAGTTGAGAATTATTTCACAGGACTCAAAATCTGAGATGAGCCGGGCATGGTGGTGCATGCCTGTAATCCCAGCGGCTTGGGAGGCTGAGGCAGGAGCATTAGGAGTTCAAAGCCAGCCTCAGCAACTTAGCAAGGCCCTAAACAACTCAGTGAGACGTGTCTCAAAATATAGGAAAGGACTGGGAGTGTGGCTCAGTGGTTAAGTGCCCTGGGTTCAATCCCAGTGCCAAAAAAAAACCCCCAAAAGAATCTGAGATGGTGTGTTCCAAGTCATTCCCTCTTTGTAGGGCTGTTCAAAGGGTGTGATAGTAAATAACTTGCCAGAATTCTTGATTCTTGAGTAGTACATTTTATGCTCATTGTTTCTATCTCATGAATAGGCTCTTGTCTTCCAGAGCAAAAAAATACTCATGCACAGGAGTCACAGGTGAAAGTCAGCAAGCGTCTCAGAGAGCCCTTAGATGACCATGAAGAAGAGGTCTCAGAGCCGAGTGCGAAGTATGTGCGAAAGAACACAGAGCCAGCCCCTGCCCTTGGCAAGGACACATTTTCTTATATGGGTATGTGTTTTAGTCAGGTTCTCACCACAGTGACCAAAAGACCTGACAAGTAATGCAGAGGAGGAAAACTGTTTTGGCTTTTGGTTTCTGAGGTTGCAGTTCATCGACAGGCAACACCATTGCTTTGGGCCTGAGATGAGGCAGGACATGAAGACAGAGGGAGTAGTGGAGGAGAACTGTCAGGACACGGCAACAGGAAGCAGAGAACGTTCTGCTTACCAGGGACAAGAGATAAGCCCCAAAGGCATGCCCTCAGGGACCTACCTCCCCAGCCACAGCCTCCTGCCTGTCTGGATTAGTCCACGGTGGGGTTACAGTGGTCATCCTCTAATCATTTCACCTCTGAACCTGTTTGCATTGTCTCACGTGAGCATTTGGGGGATACCTCCTATCTAAACCGTAGAGTACATCTTCCTTGGGTTTTTAAAAATATAACAATCTAGAAACCATGAAAACTTTGCTCAATCTCTAAATGAGAGAAATCTGAGCTGATGTTTATCCTCATTGTTTTCCATACAGCATATATAGAATTCTCTAAGGTTACCATTTTATAATTGATGAAGTTATGCAGAATTATTAAACTTTTAGGTATTCTTAGGAAAACATTATGTAGACCACAAATGACATTGTAATGTTTGAAAGACCTGTAGTCCCTATGCACAGAGTGCTTTAGCTCTTCAGATGAGGAAGGCCTCAGCACAGCTGCCTTCCACCCTCAGTCAGCACCATTTTACCCTTGTGTTCAGTCTGGAGATTGTGTCTTATCCCTAGAAGCAAGGTGGTCATGAACTGTTTCTCTGCTTTAACTTCAGTCTCTTAGTGACAGTGTGTATATCTTCTTTAGTATAGGCGAACAGAAGGTAGAAGTACCCAGCATTTTTATTTTTAAAATTTTATTTATTTTTTAACTGTGAATGGATCTTTCATGTTTTATTTGTTTTTTTGTATGTGGTGCTGAGGATTGAATCCAGGGCCTCACACATGTCAGGCAAACGCTCCACCACTGAGCTACAAACCCAGCCCTCAGCATTTTTTTTTTTTTTTTTTTGTTCCTGGGGATTAAACTCAGGGGCACTCGACCACTGAGCCACATCCCTGCCAGGGTCTCACTGAGTTGCTTAGCGCCTCACAGTTGCTGAGGCCGGCTTTGAATTCTCGAATCTCCTGTCTCAGCCTCCTGGGCCACTGGAATTGCAGGTGTGTGCCACCGAACCCAGCTCCTAGCATTTTTCATAACTCATCGAATTTGTAGGTTCTAACTTTCCCAGGAAGAAGCCATTTTATAGTTTGATTCAAGGGAAACAAATAGAAATGTTTTGTTGATCTGTATTTGTAGGTTAGTTTTATAGTTATTTAAAACAGTCAAAAAGGTGTACTTGATTTGCTTATTTGCTGCTTGGAAGTGAAACAGGTGTTTGTGGCATACCCGGGGTATGAGCTGTTCCCAGCATGCTCACCACTGCTTGAAGCTCGGTGGCCCCGACACAGCCTGGTGTGTGGTAGGTCTCTTCAGTGACTGCAGGCAGCTGTGGCTGTGTTGGCAGAGCTGAGATGCAGCTGGACTGAAGCGTCTTACCAGCCTGTGTTCTGATGTCCCAGCATCGTTCCAGGAGCTGAGTCCCTGTGCTTCTGTAGCATCCTCCCACTGTGCCTCTGCTGTGCCTGCTCCACCCACTGTCCTGGACAAGGGCCTCCTGTGTGTGCCTCTCTGCTCCCCCTTGCTGTCCCTTAGTGCTGTGCAACCCAGCTTCTCCCACTGTGCTGCTGAGAGTGTGTTGCTGGCCACCAGAGGCCTGAGAGTGGCCTGGCCTTGTGTCCGTCCTTTCCTTCCTTGCTGTTCACAGCTTTGGCATGTTAATCCCACCCTCTGCCTTGATGAAAAGAAGCACGGTCAGGAGCAACAGTTCACTGTTACAAATGTCCTGCAAGAAAAATGAGACCAGCGTTTGTTAGAGGACTTGAGCTTCTGGCAGGCAGGGTCACCATGATGCCAAGGCCCTGCTCTCTCTAGAGTGATGGCTTGCTGAGAGTGACGGTGGCCCTGACATAGAGAAGGACGTTGCCGTTGTCTTTTGACCCTTTAGGGTAGGTTGTAAGTGGTAGGTCTCTGGAAGCAGGTTCTAGCTCTGCACTGTGACCACCTTGCCCTGTCCCTTGCCTGGTGTGTGAGACCAGGTGTGGTGTAGCATCTGCCCCACATAAGAAATTTGTGTTTCCCAGAGACTGCAGCATGTAGAACATCTTCTTAAAATGCTGACCTGACTTCAGAGACATTTGGTGTGAGTTTTGTTTTTTCCAAAATTTGATCCAGCTGTGTTTACTGTTTCCCTTACAGGAGACTCTGTGGTTGTCTACACCGATGGCTGCTGCTCCAGTAACGGGCGGAGGAGAGCACGAGCAGGAATTGGCGTCTACTGGGGGCCAGGCCACCCTTTGTAAGTAAACAGCTCAGTTTTTCAGCATCAGACTTTACTGAATCATATTCTAAAACTTGTGGAAAGACGCAGTAGATCTGGGTACTCATTGATTATTTGGAAACTTTGTCAGACAAACAGCTCTAGCAGGGGCTGATAGAAGAACAGAGCTTTGATTTTTATTGACACTGAACAGCTTTGTTCTTCAGAATGTCGAATGTAGAACCTGGGTGTTGCTGTGTCGGCCCTAACTCTTAGGCGTCTCTATCTCATGAGCTTTTACACCAGAAGGGCCTCCTGCCTCTTAGCTTAAATTAGATGGACCTCGCAGGGCTACCCAGGGAATGGCTGCTGGGCTTGGAACCCGTGTATCACTAGACCCTTTTGAAGCTGTGTGACCCAGCGGTGACCCTGGTATGTCAGAAGGCAAGGTGAAATGCTCTTGTTCAGACCTATCTCGCCTGTGGATGTGAAGGAACTGGAATGGAAGCTGAGCCCTGAAGTTCAGAGGAAAGAGGGACTTGGTCCCTCTAAAGCCGCCCGCACCAGCGCTCAACTTTGTTTTCCAGTATTTACAGGTACCCACAAGAGCCATGTGTAGGTGGCCAGATGCAGTGGTGCAAACCTGCAATCCCAGCACCTCAGGAGGCTGAGGTAGGAGGGTGGCAAGTACAAGGCCAGCAACTTAGTGAGACTCTGTCTCAAAATTAAAAATAGTCAGGACTGAGAATGTAGCTCAGAGGTAAAGTGCCCTTGGGTTTGATCCCCAGTAGCTCAAGGAAAAAAAAAGTTGGTTGTTAGGCATTTTTAATAATGATACCACTTTCCATTTCTTTCTAACTGTACAGTTCACAAAGTTCTTTCACTTTAACTTTTTGCTTAGCTTCAAACCCCTGTGGTGGAGAGTGGAAGCTGGTTTGGCACTAGGTTCTGGGGATTTTGTGCTGGCCCTAGACACCATGCTAATGCCTTTCAGTCCAGAAATTACACTTTGTCCTTGACTTCTGGTCCGGTGTTTCTTCTATGCCATATTATAGTGTCTTTCAACAAAGTGTTAGTGTTGTTGGTTTGATTTTTTTTCTTAATATTTTTTTTAGTTGTAGTTGGACACAATACACTTATTTAATTTATTTATTTATTTTTATGTGGTGCTGAGGATCAAACCAAGGGACTCGCACATGTGAGGCGAGTGCTCTACTGCTGAGCCATAACCCCAGCCCCATGTTGGTTTGATTTTTTTTAAAGGCTGTGTTTTTATATGAAGCTTTTATATCGTTTTTTTGTTTTGTTTTGTTTTGTTTTAACACATTAGCTCATTATTCGTTGGAGGGAATCACTTTTGAGAATCAGCATTATAAGTGTATTTTTAAAAATTCTGTTTTGAAACAGAAACATAGGCATTAGACTCCCCGGACGACAGACAAACCAAAGAGCAGAAATCCATGTAAGTTATCAGATAAATGTGAGTTTGTCATTTCTCAATATTGACCTTGAGCATGAAACTCATGTAAAGTTACCTGATACATGTGAGTCTGTCATCCCTCAGCAAGACTATGAGCATATCACTTACTACTGTTATCCATGTAGATAAGATATTCAATGTCCAGAAGAAACTTTGGGTTAGTAGCAATTCTGGAGAAACACTCTAAAATGTCATTTCAAGTCGGTGTCAACAGAATTATATGTTTAGCACTATTTCACATAAAGAATATAATCAAAAGTACATAGGAAGAAGGAACCCTTGTGTCATAGACCCTTTTAAACATGTGTGACCCAGAGGTGACCCTTGTATGTCCCAGTGTGAATCACTTTGAGCATGAGCTGTGTTGCCCGTTCTCTGTGGAGGATGACTGTGGCTTGTTTTTTCAAGGCAGCCTGCAAAGCCATCGAACAAGCCAAGGCTCAGAACATCAGTAAATTGGTTCTATATACGGACAGTATGTTCACTATAAATGGTAAGCCTTCATGTTTATTTCTTCCAGTAATTTTCCAGTCGCTCTGAGGGGAACTAGGCTTTTCTTTCCCTGGTGGGAGGTATTATAATAGGCTAAAATTAATAACAGGGATGACATTGGTGTGTCACAAGGAAAAGAGGGAGGTTTTGAAGCCCAAGTTCTGTCATGAAGTAGCTGTGGCTCTGCTGTCCTTGCAGTTGGAGTCTAGATGTGTGTAAGTAACTTAGGATCAAGGTGTGCTGGCTGCTTCTTGGAGAATGCCCGAGGGAAACTTCCTGGAGAAGGACGTCCTAAGCTGAGAGCTTCAGGTGAATGCAGTTAGAGGAATGGGGGAGATGGGTGTTTCTGGCATGTGCTGCAGGCCAAAGCACCTGGGGCCAACTGAGGAGGGGAGGAGTCCAGGATGACGGGTCAGAGCACAAGAGGCCCCGGAGGCAGGACAGGCAGGGCGGTGCAGGTGGAGGCCCAGTGAGCATACCTTCCCTAGGGATCACTAACTGGGTCCAAGGCTGGAAGAAGAATGGGTGGAAGACGAGTACGGGGAAGGAGGTGATCAACAAGGAGGACTTCGTGCAGCTGGAGGAGCTCACCCACGGCATGGACATTCAGTGGGTGAGTGCCTATTAGAATGTTCAATCTTGTGACTGTTGTGACCATGTGGTCCCTATTGGCTCGAGAGCAGTGGTTTACTTAAGAGATCGAGTGGTGCAGGTTAACAATTCCCACAAGGGTCATATCATGAGGTGTAATGAGTGCCTTTGATTCTCTCTATCTTTGCAGTGAACAGTGTTGCTAGGTGTAGGAAGTGCAGCAGTAAAAAATATTGCTGGAGGGCTGGAGCTGTGGCTCAGCGGTAGAGCGCTTACCTAGCATGTGTGAGGCCCTGGATCTGATCCTCAGCACCACATAAAAATAAGTAAATAAAAGTATTTTGTCCAACTACAACTAAAAAAATAAGTATTTAAAAAAATATAGCTTGATAAGGCCTTAGGAACATGGTCTTCTTTCCAAAAGGGAAATGTTTTTCTTATAGTTTTTTTTTTTTTTTTGGTGGGGGGTGGTACTATGGATTGAAACCAGGGGCACTTTACCACTGAGTTATAGTCACAGCTTTTTTTTTTTTTTTTTTTTTAATTCTTTTTAGATGTTAATGGATTTTTATTTTATTCATTTATATATATGTAGTGCTGAGAATCGAACCCAGTGCCTCGCATATGCTAGGCAAGCACTCTACCACTGAGCCCCAGCCCCAGCCAGTCACAGCTCTTTTTGTTTTTTTATTTTGAGACAGTTTCACTAAGTTGCTGAGGTTCGTCTTGAACTTATGATCTTCCTGCCTCAACCTTCCTAGTTGTTGGGATTACAGACATGTAATAGATAATTTTAATGAAATGTTTTCTCCACACAATACAAAGCAAGTTAAACTTTTAATCATTGTCTCAACTCTGCCTTGTTCTGCCTCCATAAAACCATTGGTAACATTTTGTAACCAACATGTAAATTTGCTTTAGCAATGGAAATGGGAACAATGGTTAAATCAAATAAGCAATCCATTCTCCTAAACAGCATTCAAAGAGTAAAGAGTGTGTGTGTGCGCGCGCGCGCAAACACGGATATCTATCCATCTGCACAGTTTGCCATATACCATTGCCAAGTAAGAAAAAAAGCACCATTAATGGTAAAATCAAATTTGTAGAGAAATGAAATGGAGCTTTTGTGAACACGTCATTGTGTGAAGCATCTGGAATATATGTTGTGCTCTTCAGTTATGTTGGGCAAGAGGCTCTGAGTGAGCTTCGGCTCGCCCAGTCTGCTCTGTGTGCTTGCGTTTCTCAGTGGAGTGTAGTCATGTTGCTTGTATAAAAATCAGGAGAAGTAAAAAGGAAAACCTTTATTTTAACAGATGCATGTTCCTGGTCATTCGGGATTTGTGGGCAATGAAGAGGCCGATAGGCTGGCGAGAGAAGGGGCTCGGCAGTCTCAAGACTGAGTGGAGTCACTTGGGTGCTCTGGAGAAGGCAAGCGATAGCTCTTGTTGCTGTCATTTCCTGGTGTGGGCATCAAGACCTCTCAGCAGGAGTGCTACAGGAGACAAAGCTGAGCCAGGGGGCACTGTGTCCTGTGAGCATCTCAGTAAAAAAGTGCTCCAGGAGGAAGTGGACGTCTTTGAGATCTGGTGATTCTGAGATCTGCTGCTTACTGGGCTTAGTATATTTTCATATGTTTTATTGCAGTTTGGCCCAAAGTGCTTGGGCGTTGATTTTTATAAGAAATCAATAAAACATTGGTTAAAAGATGCTGACAGGAACTCAGGAAGAATTGTGGAAGAGTTCGCTGACCTTCTGATTTTCAAGGTGGAGTCACCTGCCCTTGTAGCCACACTGGGCATGTGGCTCACAGGACGCCCCTCAGGTGCCTGATGCTGTGTACACAGGAGACCGTGGCTGTGGAAGAATGGCCTCAGTCTTTCAAATGTGTGTGTGTGCAGGGCTGGGATCGAACCCAGGACCTCAACATGCTCAGCAGTTACAATTTTGTACGTGTGTGTGTGTGTGTTGGGCACTGGGGATTGACCCCAGGGGTGCTCTACCATTGAGATGTTCCCCCAGCCCTTTTTATTTTTTCATTTTGAGAGGTCTTGGTGAGTGGCTGAAGTTGACCGTAAATTTGTGATCCTCTTCGCTCAGCCTGCTGAGTGCTGGGATTATAGGTGTGTGTCACCACTCCTGGCTCAGTTACAGCTTTTTTTTTGGTACCAGGGATTGAATCCAGGGCACTTAATCACAGAGCTGCATCCCCAGCCCTTTTTATATTTTATTTAGAGACAGGGTCTCACTGAGTTTCTAAGTGCCTGGCTAATCTGCTGAGGCTGGCTTTGAACTCGCGATCCTCCTGCCTCATCTTCCTGAATTGCCAGGATTACAGGTGTGCATCACTGTGCCCGGCTCAGTTACAGCTTTTAAAGACCAAGATGCATATATCTTTGAAAAGTTTCTTTGGCTTTTTTTCTTAAAAATACTGTGCAGGTTTAAAACAAATGTTTGACATGATCATTTATTTTTGAATTTTTTTCCATAAAATAAAAATACAGAAAATGACACAAAACAAATGAACGCGTATTGAATTACTATTATAAGATGAATGTCCGTGCATCCACCACCCTGTAAGGAATAGTGCTTTGCTGGACACTCCAGAGTACTCCCCTGGGACCTCTCCTTCCTCCTCCTCCCCTCTCTTTACAATGTAATCCTGACTTTTGTGGAAATGACTTCAGGCATTTCTCGATGTCAGTTTAATCTTGCCAACTTTTTCCTTTTTTTAACTTTATATTTCTTAGGGCTTTTAAATTGCAGTCCCTGCTCCATCCCACTGTTTCCCTACATATTATCTTCTGGACCTGGGCCATCTGTTTTTTCTGTAGTCTGGATTTTGCTGATTGTGTTCATGAGAACACAGTTCAAATGTGGCCAGCAAGGTGGGGAGCAAGACTAGGGCACTGCCTCCACTACGCAGATAGACAGAGCTCCATTCTGTCAACCCAGAGACATACGGGATTATTCTGTTTTAGGAGCAGTAACTCACCAATGGGGTAAGCAAAGGTCTTTTTACTTAGGACATATGACCATAAAAGAAAAAGACTGCATATAAATAAAAAATGTTACTTCATAACGCAAAGATTTTGAAAGTAACAAGCAAAAGCAAACTATGGAAAGAGTTTGTAACTCATCACAAAGGACTAATATCCCTGATGTGTACGAGAAAACAACTGGTGAATCAGAGGAACGGATCACCCAGGTTGTTCCCAAGAAGTACATACAGCCCCTGGAGTGGATGTGTGTCCATCTTCACTCCGGAGAGTACAGCTGAGCTGCAGATGCAGTTTCTCCCTCAACAGGCTCCAGGGTTGCCGAGGCTGTTGGGAAATGCTGCTGATGCTGAAGGCAGATGGCATACCCCTGGACACCAGCGGAGCCTGCCTGCCAGTATGATAAATGCGTTTCCCTGATCCGCCAGCCCTGTTCTGCAGACTGATACTGCAACACCTGTGCCCATACAAATATAAGGCAGGATTCATGGGCTGGGTAGAAGCTCAGCCACCATGCCCAGCTCATCAGATAATGTTCTGGAGAATGTTTTTGGAATTAGAAAAAAAATACTGTCGCTATTAAACAGTTTTCTCCCTATAAGCTGCTGTGTGGTTTGGATGTGTCCCCAGTTCATGTGTGGGGAGCTTAATTCTCAGAGGCACATGCTGATGGTTGGGAGGTGGGCCTTTGGGAGGCAGTAGGGTGAGGTGAGGTCTACAGGGTGGCCCCACGACAGCATTAGAAGCCTTAGAAGAAGGGAAGGGAGACTCGTTTTTTTTTTTTTTTTAAGAGAAAGAATTTTCAAAATATTTATTTATTTAGTTTTTGGCGGACACGGACACAACATCTTTGTTTGTATGTGGTGAAGAGGATCGAACCCGGGCCGCACGCATGCCAGGCAAACACGCTACCGCTTGAGCCACATCCCGAGCCCCAGAGACTCATGTTTTTGGGAAATGTCTTAAGAGTCTTTGGGGACAATATGACCATGAATGAGGCTGGTGGCCCACACTGGAATAACTTTTGGGTTTGATTTTCATCCTGGGAGCCTGGATGCTTGGAATAATTCACTGTCAAATAACTCAGGATTTGCCCAGCACAGTGGCTACGCCTGTAGACGGGAGAGTCTAAGGCAGGAGGATGTCGTGTTCGAGACCAGCCTCAGCAACTTAGACCCTGTCTCAAAAAAATAAAAAGGGCTGTGACTCAGTGGTAAAGTACACCTGGATTCAATCCCTAGGACCAAAACCAAAAAAACCCAAAACCAATACAAATGAGTTTTTCTGCCTCTGCCTTCCCTCTACCTCCACTACCTCTCTTGACCAGAGACTGCTTTTCTTTAATAGCGCCAGTGAGACTTGGCTGAGTGGCCTCCAGGCAGCTGACTGGCTTCCTCCTCGAGAAATCCAGACCCGTGCTCCTTTTTTGGGGGGGAGGGGGGACTGAACCAAGGACTTTGGGTGTGCGAGGCAAGCACTCTACCACTGAGCTACATCCCCACTCCCAGTCTCCCTTTTTTCAGTGAAGAAAGTTTATGTGCACAGCTGGCTCATTTCTTCATTCATAGATAACACGACTTTAAAAATCTTCATTGGAAATTTTCAAAAGTACACAGAAAGAGTAGTTTGATGAACATCCATGAAACCATCTCCCAGCTTCTTCAACAGTTACCAAGTTGGATAACCTGACTGAGTAGTATTCCAAGGCTGTTCCTTCATATGTGGTATTAGGTGTGTCTCAGCACAGGGACACATGGAAAGTCTGCCAAGGTCATGTGTCTCCTAGGGCACTTGCCGGGTTTCTTGGCTGAGTGAGATCTGGGACTGCCTGGCTGGTTTTCTTTTCTTTTTTTTTTTTTTCCCTATCCTCTACTATTCCCCCTCCCCTCCCCTCCCATCTCTCATGGCTGGTTTTCTTATGCAGGTCTTGCTGTTAACCCCAGGTTTACTGATAGACAGGCCCTTGTGTTTCACAGCAAGTGGTTTTTTTTTGGCTGTGTGTCCAGGCCTCTTGAGTAGTGCCCAGGTGTGTCTGTGTGTTATCTGTTGGCCTTTCTCCCCTGCTCTGTGTGTTTCCCACAAAGCCCTCAGGCTGTTCCAGCTGGAAGTCATTAGCCCAGATGGCTTTTCCGTAGACTCTGCCTGGCCTTGCTCTGGCTGGGTCTTAGCAGGAATGGCCCTGGGGGAGAGGACCTGAATGAAGATGAGGGCTGAGAGCAGTTCTGCTCACTGTGTACTCTCTCCACCAGAGCCTCTGAGGCACCAGGCTGCAGAGTTTGGTTTTGGTGTGAACATCTGCCTCCCACGTTCCCGACTTGCTGCCCAGTCCTGAGACCTGTGGTCAGAGCACCTCGCAGCTCCCTCAGAGATCCCCAGCGCCAGCAGTCTGGCTACTGCTTCTGCTCTTGAACAGTTGACTGTGCCACGTCTCTCACCCAGGGGGCCTCAGTCCTGTTACATCTGGGAATCTGGGTGAGGCCAACAGCCTGCAAGCCGGGCAAAATCTCACTCTTCATCGCTCTTCCCGCAGGCCAGGAGAGGTCAAGTACGCTGGGCGAGCAGACAAAAGCAAAGTTATTAGCACACAGCAGGGGCCAGCCGAATCCTAGAAATGGCTGTTAAATATTTCCCCGTATACTACCTTCAGTTTCTCCTGTTGGCCTGCAAAGCCTAACGTGTTGACTCTGGCCCTTCATGGAGCATGTTTGCCTAGGGCGGTGTCCGTGTCCCTGGTTTCAGTGGCTTGGGTCACCTGGTCTTCCAGGGCACTTCTCTGCAGCGGAGGAGGCCATCTTTCAGAACACCTCAACAGGTTCTTCCCCAGTCTCATGGTGGTAATGAAACCTGGTCGTGAAACATTTCTGGGCTGTTGGTGGCTGTTTTTCTGGAAGAAACATGTCAAAGATTCTCCAAAGGCAGAACGCATGGGCTGTGGTGTCCACAGGAAAGCAGCGAGTGCCATTTCCCTCAGTTGTCCTGCTGGAGTGCTGGGGGCAGCAGACACAGCACCTGTTTCCCCGCCAGTCCCTCCGCACCCTGCTCATCTTGCTTTTCCAAAGCAAAGTTTTTTATGGCACAGAACTGCTCCCCTTTCCCCTGTTCCAGTGGGAAGGAAAAGACATCTGCTCAGGATGGAGGCCGGCAAGGGCAGATGTAGGCTGCTGGGCGGCTGCACCTGGGCGGGGTGTTAAGTGCTCCCCCAGGCTCAGGACCACTGCTGCTGGCACTGCATTTTAGCAGCTACTGTAGAGACTGAATTCAAACCCCAGCCTTGTCACTTCCTGGCCATGTGACCTGAAGTTAGGTGAGTTCCTGTGCCTCAGGTATCTCACCTTTCAACTGTGGGTGACAGGTACTCCCAGCTGCCCAGAGTGGTCCTGAGGGCACCACTGTGCAGAAAATTCTCACACTGAGCTTGTGCTGCGTCACTAGAAGCGCTGACGTGGGGCAGGAGGCCATTACAGTGATGGTGTGAAAACTCGGGAGGGCAGTGTTCACGAGCTTTTCTTGGGGTACTGTGTGCTAAGCGCTGAACGAGTGACCCGAAGGTATGCACAGCTGTGACACCACACAGGAATCATACCACAGACATGAGGTTGACGGGTGTCTGCAGATGTTGATTCAAATGTCCTCACGGAACCTAACAAGGAACATGCACGTGCCTACGGGGAGGCTCCGCGGCCAGCATGTAGGAATGGCCAGGGCAGCTTCTCTGCAACTGGGTGTCTGTAGGGGAAAGCATTTGAGTCAGGAAGAGCATCTCGGGGAAACCTGCCTGGGTAAGGACCTGAGGCAGGAGGAGCAGGAGATCCACATGCTAAAAGGCCAGAGGTCTGGAGAGCAGAGCGCAGGAGGGGAGGTGGCAGGGTTGGGGGTGGCCAGGGTCTGGAGTTCAAAAAGCAGGGTTAACATGGGGACTGGCATGACATGGCTTTTAGAAGGTCACTGGCTGCTTTGCAGGGAATGGTTGCACTGGGGCAAAAGCAGTCACAGGAGGCAACTTCAGAGGTCAGTTCCACCAGCCAAGAGGTGGTGGAAAGAGTGGGATGAGGCCAGTGGATGGGGGTATGGTGTTTTGAGGGTCAAGTGAGAGGATTTGCAGTTAGGGTGGACTGGATGTGGAGTGTGAGGGAGAAAGAGCAAAGTACCCAGCTTTGGAAGAAGCCACTGCTGCTCCCTGATACAGGAAAGGCCAGGTTAGGTTGGAGACTTGTGGATACTCAAACCTGAGGTTCTGGAAAGGGGTTCAGACTGGAGGTGTGGACAGGGGAGTCAGCAGCATGGGGTGGACTATGTGAGGCCACTGGGTTGGTGAGAATGGACAGGGAGAGACCATTGGGACCATCCAGAGGAGCAGGAGCCAGATGAGAGAGAGAGAGGGAGGGAGGGAGGGAGCAGTGACTTGAAGGAGAACCAGAAGAAGGTGTCTGAAAGGAGTGGGCAGCTGTGAAGCGCTGCTGCTGAGATGTGGCAACCCGCAGTGTCCATGGAGTGGGTCAGGAGGCAGTGAGAGAGGACAGGTCATTAGAAACCACTCCTGAAGCACACAGGGAAACACAGCCATGTCCAAGCTGCCGGGAATCAAACCCAGGACCTCACAGGTGTACGCCAGGCACATGCTGTACACGGAGCACATCCCCAGCCTGAAGGGCCAGCGGAAATCCGTCAGGTGGAGGGGAGAGGAGATGAGGATGTGGCTTAGTATTTGCAGTCATTAGAGGAAGGGAACAGAATGAGGTGGACGTGTGCTTCCTGTGCAATCTTCCTGAAGCCCTGGAGTCAGTCTGCTTTGGAGATGTAAACTAGCACAGTCTGGTTCAACATCTCCGGGTTTCTAGTTGCTTGATTTGCTAGGCTGAGGGAACAGCTGAGAATGTGATCTTTTTTTTAGCTGATTGCTCTGAAAAGATAAATCCAGGCTCATCAAAAGGTTAGATTCCTTTTTTCTTTTTTATCAGCTACACAGATGCTCAAACTTTGATGGGATTACTTCCTGATAAACCCCTCGTAAAGTGAAAATATCAGCTGAAAGCACACCAAACCTACCGCAAGTGGCGGCCTAGTGGGGCCTGTCCCCCAGGCTCACACCAGCTTTAGCAGACAGTTGGCAGACCCAGCAGTCTGTCCTCGGGTGTTGAACATCCCATGTCATTGACTCAACAGGTACTGGCAGTGGAGGCCAGAGGGCCGCATGAGCGCTGCCCACTGCGGTGCACAGCTAAGACACTCTGTGTCTGAAGAACCGTGAAAGGTCCCTTCAGCTGCAGTGTGGACTGTCTGACTGCGTGGCTGCCCCTCCCACAGCAGGGCTGGAGTGTCCCTTTACCTGCTGCGAGCCTGGGCAGAGGCCAGAATTCAGAACTCCAAGTGTGGTTTCCGCTGAGTGCAAATGGCTTTCCACCATGAAGTCACAGGATCGCAGCTGAACCACCCTAGGGAGGGGGCTGTCTGTGTTCACAGGAACTCAGGACTAGGAGGGGCAGCCTGGTTTATTCCAGGACACAGCACATTTTATGGGAAAGATGACATGAAAAGAAAAGATGGCGCTTTTAAAAACTTACATATTAGGGCTGGGATTGTGGCTCAGGGGTAGAGCGCTCGCCCAGCACAGGCGGGACCCGGGTTCGATCCTCAGCACCACATAAAAATAAAGGCGTTGTGTTGTGTCCATCTACACCTAAAAAATAAAATAAAAATATTTTTAAAAAATTAGATGGTAGCATGGCCGACTTTATTTATTTATTTATTTCTAGTACTGGGGTTTGAACCCCTGGGCACTGTACCACGCGGCTACAGCCCACCCTTTATCAGTTTTTACTTGGAGACAGGGTCTCCTTAAGTTGCCCAGGCTGGCCTCCAACTTGCGATCCTCCTGCCTCAGCCTCCTGAGTCTGGGATGACAGGTGTGGGCCGCGCCGGGCTACAGTCGTTCAGTTTTGCCTTCACGTTGACGGCTGTAAAACGTGAACTGTTCCTCGGAGTCTTCTCCGGGCGGGGGCGCAGGAAACCTGCGGCGGCTGGCCACTTGTCCTCCAGGCCCAGCAGGGGCGCGCTTCCCTCGCCGGCCCCGCCCTGGAACTCCTCCCACTCCTCCTGGCACCAGACCCGTCCGGACCTCCTCCCGGAACCACCCTCCCGGAACTACCCTCCGGGTCCTGGCCCGACCCATCCCTTCCCTCCCCGGCCCCGCCTACCTCCATATCCCTGCCCACCTCCCTGTCCGGACTCTGCCCTCCCCGGCCCGGCTCCGCCCACCTCCCGGCCCGGCCCCGCCCGCCTCCCTGTCCTGGCCCCGCCCACCTCCCTGTCCGGTCTCTGCCCTCCCCGGCCCGGCCCCGCCCATCTCCCGGCCACCTCCCTGTCCTGGCCCCGCCCACCTCCCTGTCCGGTCTCTGCCCTCCACGGCCCGGCCCCGCCCACCTCACGGCCCGGCCCCGCCCGCCTCCCTGTCCCGGCCCCGCCCACCTCCCTGTCCGGTCTCTGCCCTCCACGGCCCGGCCCCGCCCACCTCCCCGGCCCGGCCCCGCCCACCTCCCACCTCCCCGGCCGGCCCCTCCCACCTCCCTGTCCGGTCTCTGCCCTCCTGGCCCGGCCCTCCCCTCCGCCAGAGCCCGGCTAGACGCGCCGCCGCGATGGTGCAGGCCTGGTACATGGACGAGTCCGCGGACGACCCGCGGCTGCCGCACCGCCCCGAGCCCGGCCGCGCGGTGGGCCTGGAGCAGCTGCGCGGGCTCGGCGTGCTCTACTGGAAGGTTCGAGGGCGCTCCCGACGGCCGGGCGCGCTGCGCATGCTCGCACTGCGGGGGGCGGCGGGACCCCGGCTCAGCCGAGTGGCCCGGAGTACCCGGGGGCAGCCGTGGCCTCACCAGGCCCGGGGCGGCAGTGCGGGACCCGCGGAGCTCCCGTGGGCTGGGGTCCCTGGTTCCGGTGGACCCCGCTCGGCGGACGTCTGCTCTGCGAAGCTGGTGCCGCCGCTGCGGGCCGGTGTTCAGTGTTGGCAGGCGCCGCTCCCCACCCCCGAGGGCCTGCCGAGGCCACGGGAGGCCACGGGAGGCCACGGGGATGCGTCGGCGGTGACTGTTGCTTTCGCTAGTCTGCATTCAGTTGTGATCAAAACGAAAACAGGCCCAGGCCTACATCCCCCCACCCTTCCTAGGGCGCCTCCTGAGGGTGGGGTTAGGGACGTGCATGGGAAGAAGAAGGGTGAAGGGGGACTGGAGACACAGTAAGCGTGGTCAGTGTATGCAGTTAATCTTGGGGCGTCTTCTTGGATGCAGGTCCAGAAAATGGTATTGGCAAGATCTGAGGATGGTGTTGTCTGGACGCAGGTGAAAGGTCCCTGGTTTCAACACGAGTGGCCTTGAGGTGGCTGGAAAGGCACAGGCCATCATGGCTGTGACCTGAACCTCAGATGTGCAACCTACATGAGAGCTGAGAAAGGCCAGGCCTGCAGTATGGGGGTTGAACCCAGGAGTGCTCCACCACTGAGCCACATTCTCAACACTTTTTATGTTTTATTTTGAAATAGGGCTTTGCTAATTTGCTGAGGCTGACCTCAAACTTGGGATCCTCCTGCCTCAACCTCCCAAGTCACAGGTTACTGGCATGTAATGCCATGCCTGGCCAGAATTAGTGACTTAATGCCAGCTAAAAGCAGGCAGCTAGCCGGGTGCAGTGGTGCGTGCCTGTAGTCCCAGCGGGTCCCGGAGGTTGAGACAGGAGGATCAAGAGTTCAAAGCCAGCCTCAGCAATGCCAGGTGCTAAGCAACTCAGTGAGACCTTGTCTCTAAGTAAAATTCAAAACAGGGCTGGGGTGTGGCTCTGTGGCTGGGTGCCCCTGAGTTCAATCCCCGGCACCAAAAAAAAAAAAGGGGCAGCTAGAGACAGGCGAAGCCAGAGGGTCCCGCTGGTGCGGGCACCGGAGGGGCTCCGCTCTGACTCATGGAGCCAGGCCCAGGTGTCTTTCCCTGCAAGGCTGAATAGGTTAATTCTAGACTGGACTTGTCTTTTGTGGGCCACAGCCGAGTTCTGAACCTCTGGAAGGTACCATCTTCAGTGCAGTCAAGGGCTTTATGGTTTCTGTTATGATAGGAAAATAGGTTTTGACGAAGAGTGACATCTGATTTATCCCCATTCCCAAGCACAAGGGTCAGATCACGGCACTCCTGGAGTTTTGTTGTGACAGTTAAAAACAAAAATGAGGTAAAGGTCAACTTCAGACGTGTCCGGAAAGTGGGCCAGTGTTAAAGGGTGTCTCTTGGCTTGTTTCCTGGGTCAGCCAGGATGTCTTCCTTCTGCAGCCCAGAGGAGGAGCCCAGGGCTGCGGAAGGTCCCTTGCTTACCACGGGCTACCCGTGCCTGGTGCACTGTCCTGTGCTCTCCTAGTGACTGAGATGGACCAGTGGCGTCCAAAAGTGAAATTAGTTAAAGATCTTTATTTTCTCAGTAGTGGGGATGCTGAACCACATCATCCCCAGACCTTTTTTAGTGTTTATCTTGAGACAGGTTCTTGCTGAATTTCTGAGGCCAGTTTAAACCTGATGATTCTCCTGCCTTAGTCTCTGCAGTTTCTGGGGTTACAGGTATATGCCACCATGCACTGCAAAGTTTGTTGAAGAACTAATTGGCTTTTGCTCAAGATTTGTGAGGCCGGGCAGTCTGCATTCTGTGAAATACAGTCAGCCTCTGTGTCTTTACGTTGTGCACCAGGCAGTCAATCAACTGCTGATTGTCAATAATAACAAAATTGCATCTGCCCTGAACCTGCGCAGCCTTGTCATCCCTTCAGAATACAGTAGAACAAGTATTTATGTAGCATTTGCATCCTGTTAGGTATCCAGAGATGATTTAAAGTACGACGGAGGATGGGTGTAGGTTATGTGCCCATCCTGCGCTGTTTTATGTAAAGAACTGGGCATGTGTGTAGGTGTCTGTACCAGCACCCCAAGGGCAAGAGGAGTGCAGAACGAGCACTCCCTGGGTATTGGTAGAAGGGTGAGCTTCATAAGGTGGGAACAAGAGACAGCAAGAGGAGAATAAGCTATTGGTTGATGTCAAGTTCCTTCTGTGGGGGTGAAAGCAGAATGTGGCTTCTTTTATCAGCTGACCAGGAGACTGGTGTCTAATGTTTCCAGGAAAAACAGGTCTGTCTGGGGACCTCTCTCACTTTGTTTGATTATATAGCATTTAACATTGGTGGCTCTGTTGGTTTTGTCTGGCTGTTGTCGGGTGCAGAGCTGGATTCAAAGCAATGGGACCCTTGCCGCGCATGATGGCACCTGCCTATAATCCCAGCAACTTGAGAAGCTGAGGCTGGAGGATCACCAATTCAAAGCCAACCCCCCTAAAAAACCAGCCTATCAACCAAACAAACCCCAAACCAAAAACAGTGCCCCCTGTAATTTTGTCAGGTTTTAGTAGGGATCCGAGTGGTCTTGTGTACCGCGCAGGCAGCTGGCGGTTAGGTGGTTCTAGTTTGCAATAGTGTGCGGTTGGGGCACAACCACCGTCTGGGAAGAGAGTGTTTCTACCTCCTATTAACATGACTCCTTTTTGTTATCTAAACTTGTTAGCTGGATGCTGACAAATATGAGAATGATCCGGAATTAGAAAAGATCCGGAGAGAGAGAAACTACTCCTGGATGGACATCATCACCATATGCAAAGATAAGCTTCCCAACTACGAGGAGAAGGTAAGGGGCGCTGCTCCTGCGAGACTCCCTGTTCCTCTGAACGGTCTAACTTGGGGGCTGGGAAGGACGCGTGGGCTGGTGGACTGAGCAGGGAGGCTGCCCTCGCAGGGCTGCACTTTGTGGGACGCTGGCAGCCGTGAACCCAGCTCTCTGTTAGCTTGGGCAGTCCAGAGGCCCAGGCTCTGGGGCCTTGGGAGTGCCCAGGGCTGTCCACTGTGGAGCTGTGCCCTGCTTGGCCGCCCCCCCACTCCTGGTGCCCCATCCGTCCTGGGCCTGCGCAGGCTTACGATCTTGCTGACCTCGCGAATAACCCTGGGCTCATCGATTTCCTCCCGGTTTCTGCTTTCTACTTCATCGATTCCTTCCTGACCTTTGCCTCCTTCTGTGTACTTTAGGTTTAGTTTGCTCTTCTTTTTTCTAATGTCTGGAGGTGGAAGCTGAGGTCACTGGCTTGAGTCTTTTCTTCTTCTTTATTTAAAAAAAATTTAAAATAGTTGTATATGGACACAGTACCTTCTATTTACTTTTATATGGTGCTGAGGGTCGAACCCAGTGCCTCCCGAGCGAGGCACGTGCTCCACCACTGAGCCCCAGCCCCAGCCCTCTTCTGCTGTTTCATGCAGGTGTTTAGTGCTCAGGCTTACCCGCACGGTGACTCTAGTGGTATCAAACACATTTTGATACGTTTTGATTTAATTTTTACTCAGTAAAGATTTCCTTTCTGATTTTGACTTTGACGCATGAGGGATTTTTTGTTCTCTCTTTTCTTCGGTGCTGGGGATTGAACCCAGGGTTGCTCTGCCACTGAGCTACCTCCAGTCCCTTTTTATTTGGAGATAGTCTTGCCAGGTTACTGAGGCTGGCCTTGAACTTGTGCCCCTCTGTCTCGGCCTCCGAGAGCTGGGACGGCGGGGCATGTGTTTCCCTGCCTGGCTGTGTTTTACTTTTAAAGACATGTATCAGTTTCCAGTTATTTGGGGATCTTTCTAAAGACATTCTTCTGTTTCTAATTCGATTCCATGTAGGTGGGGGATGTACTTTGTGTGACTTGAGGTTTTGTGATTGTGACTTTGAGATGTGCTTTCTGGCCCAGAATGTGGTCTCTGTGTTGGTGACGTTGTCTCTGAAGGCCCCTTTAGCCGGGCAGCTGATGGTGCTGAGGGGCCAGCACGTCCTTGCTGGTGTCCCGCCTGTGGTCTGCTGTTCCTGACGGTGGGCTGCTGAAGTGCCGGCTGGGGTGGACTCGTCTGTCTCGCCCTCCGGTTCCTTTAGTGTTGACCTTGTGGGTGTGACGCTGTAGGACGTGCATGCCGGGGATGGTCGTGTCCTCTGGGAGAAAGGCCGTCTCCTCCCTGGTGACCGATGACCTGCTTTCTGGGGAGCGTGTTGACAGGAGCACCTCTCCTTCCTTTTACTTTCAACCCCGTAGACGACGTATGATTTTGTTTTTGTTTCTGGGGATGAAGCCCAGGGCTCTTGAAGCCCACTGAGCTACATGCGTAACCCTTTTTATTTTTCATGTCGAGACAGAGTTTTTTTAAGTTGCTAAGGGTCTTGCCAAGTTGCCGAGGCTAGCTTCCAACTTGCGATCCTCCTGCTTCAGCCTCCCGAGTTGCTAGGATATAGGCATGCACCACCATTCCCAGTTTTAACGTAGAATTATTTTTTTTAGTAGTCATTCAAACAGTTTGTCTTCTAATTGGTTGTACTTGGACAACCCACATTAAAACTGCTTGTTAATATAATTGAAATATCTGCCATATCTATAACTGTTTTCTAGTTGTACTTTTTAAATATTCCCACTTTTTTCCTGCCTTGTCTGGTTTTAACTATTTTTTATAATTATATTTATAATTTTTTATAATTCTAATTTTATAATTCTTAGGGTTTGTGAGACAGGTTTACCCTGGACCGAGGGGCCCAGTTTTTTCCTCCTGTCACTCCCATGGCTCAGAGAAGTTAAATACTAGATCATTGAAGAATAATGAAAATTAAATATTTATTTTATCTTTATTTCCTCTCTTTCATAGATCTGAGTTTCAGACTTGTGTAATTTTCTTTTTGGTTTGAAGAACATCTTCAGCATTTCTTGCTAAGCAGGTCTCCTGGTGACAAATTCCCTCAGTTTTTGTTTGTCTGAAAAGGTTCTCCTTCACTTTTTTTGGTGCTGGAACTGGGTGTGGTGGCACACACCTGTGATCCCAGACACTCGGGCCAAATTCAAGGCCAGACTCCACAGCTTAGCCCGACCCTCTCAAAATAAAAAACAGAGAGCCTGGGGTTGTGGCTCAGGGGTAGAGCGCCCGTGCACCTGTGAGGCCCTGGGTCCATCGTCGGCACCGCAGGAAAAGATACTGTGTCCATCTACAGCTAAAAAATATTAAAAAATAAAAAATTGAAAAGGGTGGGCCTGTAGCTCGGTGGCAAAGGGTCCAGTCCCTAGGGAAGACAGGCAAGACAAGAAGCAAGGTGCTCTCCCTCTGGGTTGCCCCCGCCGCCCTGCCCTCCCTTTTCAGGTTGGGTGGACGCCTTCCTTGCGTCCTGCGTGGTTCTCCTCCTGCGTCTCTAGGTCGGTGCACTTTCCTCTGGTCCTTTCACGTTTGCTCTGTCGGTTACTTGTCCGCAGTTGTGGTGGGCTGTGCCTCGGGGTGGGCGCTGGGCTCCCCTGCTGGCTGCTCTGTTCCTGGTCTCTGTGGTTTGGTGTCTGCAGTTCACTTGGGGAGATTCTTGGCCTTCATTATTTCAAATTTTGTCTGCCTCTTTTTGCTGCCACTCTGCCTACCAGTTATGTAGAAGGTGATCGCGTCACTTGAGCAGTCTCCTCCCATTGACCCTCTGTCCATTCTTCTATGACTACCACACTGGGTCGATCACCATGGCTTTCTCTAGAAAGTCTTGAGGTTGGGTGCAACTGCGGTCCATTCCTTCAGTATTGTCGTAGTTATTATTGGTCTTGTCTCTCCACTTAGCTTTAGAATCAGTGTGCAAACATCTGCAACACAGCTGGCCCGAACCTGTCGACTCTGCTGGGGAGAGCGCTGTCTTGGGACACTGGGCCTTTCTACCCATGAGCATGGAGGGTCTCTCCACTCCTTTTAGCTCTTCCTTGATTTCTTTCATCCGAGTTTGAGGTTTTCCTCATATTCCCCTTGTGCTGATTTTGAGTCTGCACTTAGTACTCTTGTCTTGAGGTGGTGCTGACGTGAATGTGGTGTTGATCTCAGACCCCTGTGCTCGCTGGTGGGCGGGAGAGTGGGAGACCTCCACGTCCAGCCTTGCTGTAGTTCTTCTCTGTCAGCTCTGGGTGTTCACGAGGGGGATCGCGTCGTGTGAGCAGTCTCCTCCGTCCCGACGAGCTTGCTGTCATTTCCTTTTCCTGTCGCGCTGCATTGGTAGGATGGTTCACTCTGTGCTGAGCCTCTGCCTGTGCCCCCTAAGTGGGCACAATGGCGGGACAGCAGAGGGACTAGAGCTGGGTTTCCCGTCCCCGACCCGCTTAGCCCCGGCTGCTGTGACAGAATGCCCCCCATCGTGCCCCGAGGCTGCGGTGGCCAAGCTGCTGCATGTCGAGGGGCTCGAGATCCGAGGGCGAGGTGGCATCTCAGTGTGGTGCCTGCTGGTCTTTCTCTGAAGTGGTGATTTTCCAGATGCCACGGTGAAGGCACACAGCCTCCTGCGTGGGGCGGGAGGCCCTGACGCGCCTGGCTCTCCGTGGGGGCATTCGGCCCTCATCTGAAGGGCCAGCTTCTGTGTACTTGATATCTTCATTATAAAACGCAGGGAGAGATGACCGTCAGAAAGACGCAAAGTAAGTTCGAACAAATGGGAGTCACATTGAGACCACAACTGCCGTCCCTCTGAGCGCTTCGTGGTCAGTGTGAGAGCGCGTGTGGAGCCGGATCTGCGAGGCACTCTTGCTCTGTGACACTGGGCCCGTGACCTGCCCTCTCTGTGCCTGTAGTCTCCCTCAAGTGTAAAACTGGGATGACAAGGAGACCTGCTCGGTGTGGTTGTGTGTTAAGAATGGGATTGTTGCCTGGCACCTGGGCTGTGTGAGTGTGGCCTGCCCCTGCAGGGCATCAGTGGGTTCCTTGACTATTCTGGCCCACCCCTCAGGGCTTTCCTGGCCCCCCCCCCACCCTCCTGGCCCCTCCTGGCCCCTTGTAGCTCTCCTGGCTCCTCCTGGCCCCTCCTGGCCCCTTGTAGCTCTCCTGGCCCCTCCTGGCTCTCCTGGCTCCTCCTGGCCTTCCTGGCTCCCCATAGCCCTCCTGGCCCCCTCCTGGCCCCCTCCTGGCCCCTCCTGACTCTCCTGGCTCCTCCTGGCCCTCCTGGCCCTCCTTAGCCTGCGTCACTGGTTTCCCGTCACCAGGGTTCTAGCCGTGCAGGTGGGGGCCGCGTGTGCTCAGTTTCATGCCCAGCAGACTGAGCGAGCTCTCCCTCCTGCCTAGATCAAGGTGTTCTACCAGGAGCACCTGCACCTGGACGAGGAGATCCGCTACATCCTGGAGGGCAGCGGGTACTTTGACGTCCGGGACAGGGAGGACCAGTGGATCCGCATTTCCATGGAGAAGGGAGACATGATCACTCTTCCCGCCGGCATCTATCACCGCTTCACGCTGGACGAGAAGGTAGGATCTGCTGACCTCCGTCTGCGTCTGCCTGCGCTGGACGTCAGAGCTGGCTGGGTGCCCCCGACAGTGCGCTCCTGCTGGCCGTGCCACTGAGACTGATGAGGGAGCGTGGGTGGCGCAGCTCAGGACCTGGCAGCACATGCCCAGGGACAAGGGCAGCGGCCTGCCTGGGGCCGTGCGTGGGCCGTCCACAGAGCGCAGAGAGGTTCCAGTGCCCTTTCTCGTTGTGGAGGGCCGGTGGCCGGGAGGCACCCGTAGGGTGGGACTCCTGTCGTTTTGGATGTTAACAGTGGAGATGCAGCCGTCTGGTTGCCGGGGTGTAGAAATGAGCACCCTGCGTGCGGGTGTGACCTGGGCTAGGCCTGAGGGCTGGCATGGTCTTTAATAGATAGTAAGTGCATACAGCTTAAAATTCTGAGTTAGGAAACAAGAGAGTCTCCGCCTGACCCCTGGTCCCAGTTCCCAAGTCCCCTCCCTGTGGATGGCTGCGTCACATCTCGAAATGCCTTTTTAGAGAGGTTTTGTACGTATTCCAGTGAATGGGGTCGGGGTCCTTTTCCCTTCTCTGCAAGGTTCTGCGTGTGTTCTGTCGCGCTGACGCACTGGGGAGGGGTGGTCCTCCACCCGCATGTTTGTTTGCACTCTTGGCTGCACATGCTCCGCTGCTGGACGAGCCCTGTGCGTTTAGCCACTGGTTCATTTCACTGAGTGGGTGGCCTCTGTGGAGGGCGTGTGATTGTTTCCACCTTTGATTCTGTAAGGAGTGCTATCCCGAGTGACACTGCACAGTTGTAGTTGCACTGAAGTGAGTTCACCTGCCGCGCACACCTCTAACCATGGGCCCTGCGTTAGCAGGAGGGCATGTTCCAGTTTGGATGGGTGGTGCCAGCTGTCCTCTGCCCAGCCAGCAGCATGGGGCCCCAGTGCTGACTCGTGGGGAGGCTGTGCCCATGGGGCAGAGAGCCAGGGATGGTGCTAGTGTCCACCACTGGTCTGTTTCCAGGCTTCAGCTGCAGAGGCTTCCACCCACTACCACGGGAGCCTTCTGCATAGGGTGGCCACTTAGGCAGAGGGTCCAGTGTGGGATGAGCATTGAGCCGGCAGTAGGACAGCTGTGAGGGCGTCTTGTTAACGTGGGAATGTGTGAGAGGCGATGGGTCAAATGAGATGCGATGTCTGTCTGTCCCCAGAACTACGTGAAGGCCATGCGGCTGTTTGTGGGAGAACCAGTGTGGACAGCATACAACCGGCCGGCCGACCATTTCCCCGCCCGGGAGCAGTACGTGAGGTTCCTGGCCCAGACGGCCTAGCGCACCGCACCGTGGAGCAGCTCGCCTGCAGGCTCTGTGCGGCGCCCTGAGAGCCACCTCCTCGCTTTGCTTTCATGCAGTGGACGGCGGCTGTCTTTCCTTTGCAGACATCTGATCAGAGTACTTATAATGAATGGAGCTGGGAATCGATTTCTACGTGGACGTGAGTGAAGTGGAGAGCCCCTGATTCCCTCTGATCGATCCTGCTGTGTGCAAGAGTCTGGCGGGCAGCGCAGTCATCCGTGACAGAACACAGGAGTCAGCTCCTGGGGGGTCACTGCCCCTGGTCAGCCGACACTGGTCAGCCTGAGCGCTGTGCACAGGAGCAGTCCTACAGACAGGCAGCCGGAGGGAGGCGAGGCGCTGTCCGCCCGGGGCACGTGGGCTGGGAAGAGCTCCGGCTGGTGTCCCTTGGGCTGCCTGTGTCCCCTCCTGTTGGGAATAAAGTGCCTTGACCTCACGCAGGGGCTGGGGGTTGCCTCTGAGTGCCTGTGGGTTTGCCCGGCTCATGATCGTGCGTTTGAATTCACTGTGAGGCGCTGGGTGTGTGTGGTTAGCTCACAGACTGACCGTGTTCGTGGTTTCCAGTGTGAGGTTTCTAGGCTCCACAAGCTCTGAGATCCTGATCGCGGAGACCCCGCCGTCTCCCTGTGCTTGGAACATGGTGGCTCATCCTGAGCTCCTGCTTTAACTGGATGCAGACTTTGTGCCCATCACCCTTCATCACCTGCACCTGGTGTGGGGCTCGCCTCCCTCGGGCAGAGGCCGCTCGAGCTGTAGATGGGTTTCCGTGGCCAGAACCAGGGCGGGTCTGCTGGAGCTGTTTCTGTGGATGGATTTCTAATGGTCATCGTACCTGGGACATATTTTCCTCCTCTCCTCTGTGGCTCCTCAGGCTTCTGCCAGCCCTGGGAGCCAGCGGCCCTGTGAGCCTGGTCGCATCTCCCTTTTCCTGTGTCTGCGTTGTCACAGTGCACTCGGGCGGGCTACAGCTGTGTGACACGCCCTCAGTCAGGGGTTCTGGGCAGTCTCACCAGCCAGGAGGTGCCCGTCCCCCCTGCCCCTCCCTGCCCATGCCAGCCACGCCAGGGAGTGTTCCAGAATCTGTGGAAGTGGAGCCTCGGCTAGGGTCTCGGACTGGCTTCCTGCACTCCTGCCTCTTCAGTGCAGCCCTGTGTGCGGCTCAGATGCTGCTGCTTGTCTTTCCCTTGAGAGGGGCCTTGCGGTGTGGCCCAGGCTGGCCTCGAACTCCCGTGCTCACACGCGCCTCCTGCCTCAGCCTCCCAAGGAGCCGGCCTGCAGGCTCCACCACTGAGCCCAGCGGGGTTGTTCAGAGCTCTCGGCTGAAGCCTCCCGAAGCAGGGAGTTGCTGCCTCGCCGAGCTCAGTGTCCGGGGTCTCCTCTGAAGCTGTCCTGCAGTAGGCTGTCTCTGGTTCCTTCACGCCCCCTCTCAGGTGCCACGAAACCCACCTACAGCTCGAGTTGCCTCTGCGCGGCTGGCGGTGTTCCCAAGACCCAGCCCCAAGTCCCAGTGGAGCCACTGCTGGTTGTCTCGTGCGAGGCTGCCCCTCTGGAAGGACACCCTGGCTTGCTGAGCAGGGCGCACCTGGACAGGTGTTGGTCAGTGCACCTGTTGGAAGGTACGCAGCGTTTGTGCCTGGGCTGTGCTCAGGGTGTGGCCTTGGGCAGGTCTCTGCATTTTAAAGGAGTGCGCAGGCCGGCTGGGCAGGGCGGCGGCAGTGGGCCCTGCAGTGCTGTGTCTGGGAAGCCCAGGGGCTGGGCCAGTGCACCTTGCCTCTGGGAAGCCCTGCTCGCAGGGCCGCCTTCCCAGCCCTGTGTCTCTGCCGTCCACCGCTGCCTCGCCTGGCCTGCCCTTGCAAAGTGAGCAGGACATCCCATCTCTCTGCTGTTCACTCCTTGTTGTCCGCTTCTTCCTCCTTATTGGTCAGAAGAGAAGCAGGAGATGAAGTAGCAGGTACTCTGCTGTCCCAAGAAGCTGCTGCTGTGGACCCACGGTCGACTCAGCCAGATGCCTCAGTGATTGTCACTGTGGGAGCTCATTAAAAATGGCAGTAACCCAGGCTGGTAGCACACACTGGTCACAACTTAGGAGGCTGAGTCAGGAGGATGGCAAGTCGAGGGTAGAGACTCGTGGTGGAGCGCTTGCCTGCATGGTGCCTGAGGCCCCAGGGTCCATCCCAGCACCCGACAAAGGCAGAAGCAACATAAAGGAGCAGGGGTGCACTCCCCGTCAGCTGTGAAGCCCAACTCCCAGCTCCTAGAAGGCTGCACCGGCCTCTTGCAGCTGTGGAGCGGAGGTGGGGGTCTTGGAAGCCGGAGCAAGGGTGGGAGCCGGAGAGAGCTGCAGTCTAGGCACTGCACACCCACAGACCCACAGCCGCCGAATTCAGTACTTGCATTAAAGATCTTTAAAATAAAAGTGTGGATCTGGGCAAACGGAGGCACTCACTGTGTCCAGGTGCACCGCGCACGTCCCGCTCGTGATCAGTCATGTGGCTTCTGGTGGGATTCAGCAAATGCTGTCGGGGCTCCCACGCTGGCCCCTGTGCCCACCAGCACTGCTCCTCTCCTCCTGGCCCCCGTGGAGCCTACCTGTCTTTAGCCCAGCTGGCTATTCCTTGGACTTGGAGGAAATAGTCTTTTTTAAATCCCAAAGTCTGTGAGCCAGATAGCTTTTCAGCTTCCTCAGAAGTAGTCGGTCCTCTCGAGGACGGTGTGGATTGCAGCTTTTGACAGTAGAATTGCAAACCTGTGTTGGGCAGTGCCAGCCTGAATCCTGGCAGGCTGCTGGCCTGCAGGAAGCCATACTTGTCCCAGGTAGGTGGTGGTGCCCTGCCCTGCTCTGGCAGCCGCCCACCTGTCCCCACACTGCTGTCTATGAGCTCTGGACAGTGTCCTGAGGCTGAGGACCAGGAATAGAGTGCAGGGCACGTGGGCATCTGTGGCCTCCTACCTTCTCCCAGGAGGCAGGTGATCGGTCACCTTGGAATCCCAGTGCCTCTCCAGGGAGGTGACCTACTTCGTGGGTGGGGCTGTTTTTTCCTAATTACATGGCAAAGTCTGCAGCACCAGACATTTTTCATTTTCTTTGCTTTGGGTTCTTATTAAACCCAGGGCCTCATGTGCTGAGCATGCACTCTGCCACTGAGCTGCACCCCAGCCGACATTTCATTCCAAAAATATGACTTTGACAACTGAAGTGAAGCCCTTTAGCTTATACGAGGCTCACCTGGTGGTTTGCAAAGTGCAGGGCTCTGTCCTGCAGACTGGCGCTCTGACGCAACCTGAAGGCAAAACTTGTCATCTGTGATGGACAGGCGACAGTGGGACTGAGAGTAATTTGTCAGGATCAGGGTTTTGCACATTTCCCAGAGCCTGGCATGTGGTGGAATTCAGTATGACTTGGGTGGTGGGTAGGGGGTCACTGAGGGTGGGAGGGTGGGTGTGTGCGTGGGCAGGTAGATGTTTGATGAATCTGTTTCTTGCCGTGCAGATTTAGAATATTAAGTTCAGATATGATCTTGAAAAGTCTTTTTTTAAAAAAATCTGTTTTCTATTGGAAGTGTGTCATGTTTTAGAAAGCTCACATAGTTTTATGATTTACACAAGGAAAACTTAATTACAGGACATTTAAACATCCACTGTCCTAGAGCTGTCAGGAGGATGGAGGGGCAGGAGGTTTGGCCTGGTGCTGTGCTCGGCCCCGAGGGCTTATCATCCTGGAGGCCTGCAGCGGAGTTTAGAGCGTCTCCAGGAAAAACCACCAAAGGTAGAAAGTGAGGCAGCCGTGCAGGGGCTGTCTGCCTGTCGGAGGGACCCAGCGCTCAGCGAGGAATCCGCTGAGGTGCTGCTCTGCACCCACCTCTTTGCCTGCCAAGTCCCACGGGGTGCCTTGGCCCTGCTCCTTGGCCTGGAGACAGCCGAGGACCCTGCTGGAAGGGGCTCTTGGAGCGGTGGTGTGTGCCCTGATGGCCCTGCACTTTCTGAATCCAGAGTGAGGACTTAGGCCCATGGCACTTTCTGGGGCAGAAGAGAGCCGTTTGTCACCGTGGTGTCAGGGAGAGCTCCAGCTGTGTGACACTGTTGAGGCCACCCATGGAAGCCCAGAGCCCAGCCCAGGTGCATGGCCCTGCCCACCAGCCTTCCCAGATGCCTCAGGTTGTTCTCCCCTCATTCCCTGGTCAGGTCCCCTTGTGGCTGTTCATTCACTGAGCATTTGCCTCTGGAGAGCTGGCACCAGGCTGGGAGTGCAGCGGGTACAGTGGCTGCAGCGCGAGTCACCTTGGGAGTCATCTGCATGCCCCACAGGCACCCAGTACAGAGCAGAAGCAGATACACAGTGGGCTCCTGGGCAGGACAGGACCTTTAACCTTGCCACTGTGCTTCTCCTATGGGGACAAGCAAGGCCTCGGTGCCCTTGATGGGCTGAGAGGTGGACACCGTCAGGTTTTCCTGCAGTTGGTCTTCATTCTTTCCCTCATCCTTAAAATAACTAGATAAATATCCCCCATTGTTGAGAGCCACAGCCGAAGGGGCCCCAGCAAACTTCCGGCTGCCAGCTGATTGGCTCCTCTGCGGTGATGCTCATTGGGCTGTTTCCCCGCCCTTTCAGACCACGGAGCTGCTCATTGGGGGACTTTTTTGGCTCCGCCCACACGACCCAGCCAATCGGCCTCAAGAGCAGGAGGAGTGGGGGGTTGAGAGGCTTGTGGGAAGCCGGTGGTGGCAGTTGGGCTCTGAGGGAATTCCTGAAGAGCTCGTGTGGTGCGGCGTGTGTGTGTGTGTGTGTGTGTGTGTGTGTGTGTGTGTGTGCTCTAAAAATAAAGTTTGTTTCTGCCTGACAAGTGGCTGGTGAATTGTGCCCAGCCAGACTGCGGCACCCCATTCCTTCTTCAGGTCTGTCCAGCTTTTCAGAAGGCAGTGGGAACCAGGTCCTCATAACTCTGAGGCCAGCTCAGCTGCGCTCCAGTGTCAGACCCTGAGGCGTGGCTGCTCACACACCAGACGGTCAGGGCCTCTCAGCTCCCTGCAGCTGGCCTAGATCACAGCCAGGCAGGCCAGGACCGTGGGACAGGTGGCCGAGAGCCCGGGAAGACACCTGGAGGTGGGGGATTGGACCTGAGGTTGTGGAGAATGCTCACGGGAGCCCAGTGGGAGTGGCTGGGAAGCTGCACTCTGCAGCCTGAGGACGCTCGGCCCTGCTGGTTGCAAAGCACACCCCTCCCCAGTGCTCTGCTCGGCCATCCTCCCCCCCACCCCCCAGCAGGGAGCGGGCTCATGACCAGGCTGCAGAAGCAGCAGCACTGAAAGTTTGCTTTTTCTCTGTGTGACCAACATGGCGGGCGCAGTTGTGCTGCCAGAAGGCAGCTCCCACAGAGGGCGCCGGTCTGCCTGCCTGTGGCGCACCCGAGGGGGTCAGCGGCCTTCCAGATGATATCG